TCAAGAGATATTCAGACAACCACATGGCAGATATCCTTCGATTTGTATTCACGCATTAAGGAAAGGATTGGACTCAATGGCCTTATAGGCCCCTTCCAAATTCACTATTCTAGAATAGTCTCAAACTAAATGCACACAATTATCACTTCAGCTGCCTCCATGAAAAAACAAGTTGCAGTGGAAGGAAGAGAATTTCAGAGCCTCAGTTTGGAAACTTTAACGGCCAGCCTTCAGCATTCCACCGGAAAGTGGGAAAATGGCCACCATGCCAGATAAGCTAACCTTTTTAGACAGTGCAATATCAACAGCCCAGAAAAGCAGAAGCACACACCCCTCTCTCCCCTAGAGGAGCTTAAAACAGGATTGGAAAAGTGTCAGCAAAACGGAGATCGAATGGTAAAGAAAAGCTCGGAGGAAAACTCTGTTCTGCCAAGATCCAGATGAGTGCAGGGCCAATGATGGGAAAAACCTGCCTTCATGATACTCCCCTTGGGAAGGGAAGAGGGAGGAAACAACCCAAGAACGGCATCTTTACTGGCCATTCCTAGTGAAGCGAGGAGAGGGGCTCATTCCTTTGAAAGCCAGCTTTCCCCTCAGGAAAAGAGTGCTCAACCACAAAAGAGAAGGGAAGGGAGAGGAAAGGTGGCCTGTAAAGAAGGCAAATAAAAATAGGAAATTAAGGAGGGAAAAAGAAAAAGAAAAATTCTGTATTTCACACCCTGTTCAAAACTATTTATCTATTTGTCTTCTTCTTTACAGTAAGGTAACATCGATGCAGGTTAAAGTCAAGGAAGAGGCTGGTGGAAGAGCCTCTAAGCCACCCAAATCCAGATTTCTCTGCAAAGAAAAGGGCTTCCAAGGGCTCCCAACCATGGATGGGCATGAACAAGTTCGAAGGTTTGTGCCAGTTTGTATGTGCAGCATCACAAGTTCTGCATGCTCCCTTTCCCCCGCCTGGATTCCCCACTCACCAGCCAGCGCACAGTCCTCTCCTCCTCCTCTTTGGCCATTCAACCTGTCACCGGCAGGAGCACAGGCTTCCCTGCCCGCCCCCCCTCCCCCCCCCTCCGTCCACC